TCTTTCGTGTTATGTTTGTCCTGCAATGTTGCCATGTCTATTATCAGACGAAGGCTATTAAATATAAAAATCTGTTCCTTCTCTGTCACGTGAGCTTTTGTCAGACACGAGTTGGACAAAATATTTGATTTTTTTTTCTGTTCATGTCTATGCTCGTTTTGTTTGAAATTGGTAGTAAATTGACATTTTTAAAAAATTTCTTTCGTCTCCTTCGTTATTTGGCTAATAACAAACTGCGATTAGATAAACTGGTTACAGGGAGTGATATGAAATACTTGAATAGCCTCGTCTCCAGAAGGTTCGGAGTTGACGATAGAAATTCTAATAAACATAACTTTTAATTTTTCTAGTATCACTCTCACTGAAATAGAACAAATGGTTCTTTCTCGGGGACTTTATTTCTGTATCCCACCTAAAATTTACAAGGGACAGATTTTCTCTGAATTTGAGATCATGTAGTCTCAGTTAAGTAAACATGTTCCTTCTTTTTCCGATAAGTGTTCTGATGTTAAAGTTAGACTACTTGAACTGTCTAATGAATATGCTTCGCTTACTGCTGAGCGGGATTTTCTAGCTTGGCAAAGCGTTCATTTTCAAACTATATAAAAATGTGTATATTACTTAGCCTGATAAGGTTTCTGTTGTTGTCATCTTAAACAGGCAAGATTATTTGGATAAAATGTCCAATATTTTGAACGATTCCTCAAGGTTTAAGATGATGGTTTCTGTTAGTACGTGTGACAATACTGGCAAGGCTGATATGAGAACACAGAGATGGTTGCTCTCAGTAGACAAGAACAACCTAATATCTAAAATGATTTATGATAGGGTTAGATCTGTAGGGTTTCAACGTTCCGGAATGTATGGACTGCCTAAGATACATAAAGATGGTGTACCAATGAGACGCATCTTATCTATGTAAACACAAGTTGGCCAAATGGTTGGCCGAACTACTTCTGCTGGTATCTAAAATCTTAGCACATAATATCTCAGACTCTTTTTGTTTTTCAAATTTCATTAGAAATTTGGGTATCGAATCTGGAAACAAATTGATGGTGTCTTTTGATATACGAATGTGCCTCATTATGAGACCCTTAATATATGCGCGGATGTTCTTTATAGAGGCAATTTGTATCCAGCCTGTATTCCTGAAAAACTGTTTTTAGGATGCATACGTCTGGCGATGGAAGATGTTGAATTTAGTTTCAATGTTATATATGCCCAGACGGACGGTGTTGCTATGGGTAGTCCTTTGGGCCCTATATCGGCAAATATTATCGTGGGTTATCACGAGCGACCTTTGACAAAGCCCATAAACCCCACGTCTACATAAGGTACGTTAATGATACATTTTCAATTTTTGATTTCACCAATGATGCCAATGATTTTTTTTTTTTGCGGAACTTAATTCTCTCCATCCATCCCTTAAGTTTACTAAAGGAGGTTGAGACCGATGGAAAATTAACCTTTCTTGATGTTCTCGTTAAACGCAGATATAGAGGTTTTTTTTACCTGTATTTACCGCAAACCTACATTCACTGGCTTATACACAATTTGGTACTATTTTTCTTCCGAAGATCCACAAAATTGGTCTAATTTTTTATGTTAGTTCATCGTGCTTTGATGATCTTTTCCCCTCGATTGTTAGACGGTGAATTTGATAGTATACAATTTTTTTTTGAAAATAATGGATATCTCGCCAATATCATAGATGGTAAAATCAGACGCTTTAAAAACCAGTGGTTTTAGAACCTAGTCGTTATCCTATTTGTTTAAAGTTGCTTTGGCTTGGCAGGAAGTGTCAGCTGTTGTTTGACAGAATTTCAGCTTGTATTGCATCATGCTACAATGCTGTTAATTTGCGCATTGTTTTTCAAACAAAATGTGTGTTCTCTTCCTTTACTAAGGCTCGTTTGTCCTATTTTCAAAGAACTATAGTAGTATACAAATTCAAATGCTGATGTGAGGCAGTATATATAGGACGAACCAATCAGAGATTAGAAACGCAGATTACGCAACAGATTAACCTGCGTATTTGCGTTCGAGAAGTCATAACAGTATTTAAAAAAAAACTAAAAAAAACTACTCAAGCAGTTCACAACTCATCGATCGGCCAGCATTTATTGAATAATCCTGATTGTGTTGCCGAGTTTAAGGACACATTCTTTTTCAATCTCCATTGTGCTAGCTCGGTATACTATATTAGAGTCCTCAAAAGATTTGTATATCAAAGTCTACCAGCCGAGACTGTGCTAACAAAAGGAGCATTTTGTACTTTCATTACAGTTGATTGAAGGTCAAAATTTTCCCGTCTCCCTTCAAGAAGAACAACCAAGTGACCATTATGCAAATTTAGAAATGACTGTTACACATTTAAAGTCGAAACAACCTGCGTCTACACAACATTGGACAATAAAACAAGAGTTTTAATAATTCTTCACAGTCAAAAACCACCCTGTGATTTCTTGGAGATTATTAATGTGCCTTGGCTTTGTTTGTA